AAGAGAAGCTTGCTGTACCGAAATTAGAGACGGACAGCGTAGCACGTAAACGATACAAGGAGGAAAGTCATCACTTGAACCATTTCCGGAGCGGCATCAAGAGCACAAAGTCTAAGCCGGATTCACCACACTCAAGGTCGACAGTTTGAAAATGACCAGAAAGGATCTCGAAACTGCGTAAGCAGAAGACAAGACCTTGGATACCTGCAGAAACAAAGTCGGACAAGTATATTATGGAAGGGGATCAACCCATTATTCGTTTACCATAGAAAGGGGGATAGTCTACCGCCATTACCGGTTATCCTCTGGCAAAATGATAACACAGGTGGTAGTTCCCTGCAAATTGCGCAGCCAAGTGCTTGAGATGGCGCACGAAAGTCTGATGTCAGGACATCAAGGTACGAAAAGAACCATTGATCGGGTACTAGGATTGTTCTATTGGCCTGGAGTACAGGAAGAAGCTAAAAGATATGTTCGATCTTGTGATACGTGCCAAAGAACGTACCCGAAAAGCAAAGTAGGCAAAGCACCACTTGGCCAAATGCCGTTGATTGAGGCACCATTCGAGCGAGTGGCAGTTGACATTATTGTACCCTTGAAACCAGTCTCTAACAAGGGTAACCGATACATTCTGACAATGGTTGACTTTGCGACACGTTATCCGGACGCAGTGGCCCTGCCCGCGATTGATTCGGCGACTGTGACAAAGGGCCTGTTGGAAATGTTTTCACGCACTGGATTTCCCCGTGAGATTCTGTGCGATCAGGCATCTTGCTTCACGTCCGAGTTGATGAGAGAAGTCAACGCTTTGTTATCCATCAAACATCTAAGTTCGACACCCTACCACCCTATGTGCAACGGGATGGTTGAACGGTTTTATGGCACGCTGAAACAGATGATGCGAAAACTATGTCAAGAGGATCCGAAATCATGGGATCGGCTGCTCGCGCCACTCCTTTTTGCATACCGAGAGGTACCCCAAACCAGCATGGGATTCTCGCCGTTTGAACTTATCTATGGGAGATACGTTAGAGGCCCTCTCAGTATATTGAAGGAGATATGGACGGGAGAACACATCAGTGATGAAGTAAAAACAACGTATGGCTACGTCTTGGATCTTCGAGATCGTCTTGAGAAGACGTTGCAACTAGCCCATGAGAACTTGTCACAAGCGAGGAAAACTCAAAAGCAGTACTATGATCGGGGAAGCAAGAACCGTCTGTTAGAAGTGGGAGATCTTGCTTTGATCTTACTCCCTACCACGGAGAACAAGTTATTGATGCAATGGAAAGGACCTTTTCGAGTCGTTGGAAGGAAAGATAACCACGACTATTTATTGGACCTGGGACATGGCAACAAACTGTTCCGCATAAATATGCTGAAGCGCTATGAAAATCGGCAGCCGAGGACAACCCCTCAAACAGCATCTTTCGTGGTCATGGAAGAGGACGAGACAGACACGCCATTACCCGTCTGCAAGACTACCCGAAGAGTTGGCGTGAAAACAATTACTATAGCCGAGGGACAGGAAGAAGAGAAGCGTCTTGCGCTTGAAAAGATTCTAGCCGCTTATGACGATGTCTTTTCCGACATCCCCGGAAAGACAAACATTTTGGAGTGCCGCCTTCAGTTGACATCTGAACCTATTAACACTCCACAGTACCCTTTGCCGATAGCAATGAAGGAAGTCGTCGAGAAGGAAGTTCAAGACATGCTGAAGCTTGGCGTCATTGAGAGATCGAATTCTCCTTATTATTCATCACTGGTTCTCGTCAAGAAGCCGGATAACACTTATCGTACGTGTGTGGACTTTCGGCGTATCAATGAGATTCTAATCTCCTATGCCGAACCCATACCACCAAAGGACATAATTTTCACTGAGGTCGGCACCAAGAGATATTTTTCCAAGTTCGATCTGACGAAAGGCTATTGGAAAGTCCCACTCCATCGGGCTTCAAGACCAGTCACTGCCTTCTCGACGCAGTCAGGACATTACCAATTCATATATATGCCTTTCGGCATCAAGACGGCTTCCGCAGTGTTCACGAAATTAATGAGGACTCTTCTTCAGGGTGTGGAAAACGTAGTCCATTACATTGACGACGTTCTCGTAGCTACATCGACCTGGGAGGAGCACTTGGAGACTTTACAGCACTTGTTGCAGCGAGTCCGTGAAGCAGGACTAACCATCAAGCCTCAGAAATGTGAAATCGCCGTGGAATCCATCATCTTCTTGGGTTATCGGTTGAGAGGCGGAACTATTCAACCACTAGAAAGTACAGCGGCGAAGATTGCTAACGCAACTCGACCCGAGACCAAGAGGCAGCTGCGATCGTTCCTGGGATTAGCAGGATACTACCGCGACTTAAAACCCCGATATGCCGAAAAGGCCCAGCCTTTAACGGAATTAACCAAGAAAAGGGAGAAGAACAAGATCTGCTGGAACCAAGAAAGAGAAGCGGCTTTTGAGACACTGAAGCAAGCCCTCTCATCAGGACCAATAGTACGAGCTCCTGATCCGAAACGCACATTCGTACTGCGTTCGGATGCGTCTGACACCTGTATCGGGGCAGTTCTCATGCAGGACCACGATGGGGTGTTACATCCAGTGTCATACGCCAGCCGACAGCTATTGCCGCGAGAACAGAATTACTCCACCATAGAACGAGAATGTCTGGCACTAGTGTGGGCAATAGAAAAGTTTCACATCTTTGTGTACGGAACGCAGTTTGTTGTGCAAACTGATCACCAACCATTACAATATCTAGCTAAGGCCAAACACCTGAACAGCAGAGTACTGAGATGGAGTCTGGCATTACAAGAGTATTCTTTTGTTATTCAACATATTAGAGGCTCAGATAATTCAGGTGCCGATTTCATGAGTAGGCTGTAACCTAAGCTATGGAAGTGTATTGCAACTGGTTTACAGTTTATCTACAGTGTATATTTCTGAACCACGTGGTTTATTCACCAGAAGAAAACAGTCATCGTCCCATGGCTGACTACATGTTTTTTCCTTGTTTTTTTATGTGTGAGGGTGTGTGAACATTTATTGTGGACATATATCACCTCTATTCACTGGTGCGGTGCAGTGGTCTTGTGCGGACACGTGGTGATTGCGACTAAGACGTGGCAGAAAGTTTTTTTTAGAAAGAAAAAAACTTTTTCCGAAGGAGGGGCATGTGTGATGAGTGAAGTGGCCGTGCGTGATCGTGAAGATAGAATTGTGTTTGAAGTGCGCGCCACAGAGACAGTCGAAGAAGACGACGCAGGAAAAAAATGAGGGCAGGTGGTGGTGCGAAGAAGGAGTGAGGCAGACATGGCTGGAAGGAAGAAGCAAGGTTGAAGAACCAGGGCGTGGGAGCAGTGACCCGTCGGGTTGTGGACTCGAGGTCTCAGCAGACTCCCACTTGGGGACATACCAGCCTCTTCTTGCAGTTCGGGCCTGGCGTGGGCGAAACGTCGCCAGGACGTTTCCGCCAGGCGAGTCCGGCACCTACGGCAGCGAGCGCCAGCCAGCGTTCGAGATAGGCATGGCAAACGACATGCGTGCTCCAGGTCAACGACCTCCGCAGTGAGCCGCGTTCTTGGCCGCGGCTGTCATTGGACTTACCAGGCTACCCAAGCGTCGGTCGTCCCTTCCCAGCGTTGAGTTTGCCGCCAGGACTTGACCACCGCCTTTCTCTCCGGTGAACTCTTTCTGTATTTATGCCCTTGTGACTCTACCACCAGCATTCCAAACATGTTATATTTTTTCCCTTACTTCATTTATTATTAGACCTTTCATGTCTTTTGTAAATACATTTTTTTGTGTGATTGCATAAACGGCATCGTTACTGCCCGATGACGATTGAGTCATCGCAGGTTTCCGTACAAAAACACGAGCGTCTCGTCTAGAGCTTTGTCTCTCTGTACAGCTCGTTACACCCCCTCTTGCGCTCACTGTCCGTGTCCTTCCTTGTGTCTATTTACCTGACGTCACAATACAACATTTTGTAGAAGTGTGTCCAGTTTTCGCAATCACTGGTGCAAATATAATCCCACAAGAACGCACATTTTCCCAATCCAGGCAATCCGACAGTAATACGTGTAACGGTCACGTCGCCGCATTTCTCGCGTAGTGAAAGAAAAAAGTGAAAGCCACGTAAAGGAATTTTTTCGCTTAAGCATGAAGCGATCATTTGTAAGCGGTGGTACCTTTGCTCTTTCTCTAGCTGTGAAGAAAAAATTTCTTAATACCGAAAACAATGAACCTTGCAATGAAGACAGCTTAAAGTAACTACGACAGTGGTCAATATTTCAGCTCTGCTTCACTCCAACGTACTCCACAGGGAACTGCACTAACTTTCACGTGGACTGTCGGGTGTTTCTTTCATTTTCCCTGTTTTTTTTTCAGGAAGTCGGTTACCGTAATTTACATGCTAGAGTACCGTTGCGCCTGGCAACAGACACAGGACTCCTTCCGAAGATGCGCGCACACAATCGAGCTCTGCTTGTGCTGCATTCGTGGCAGCGGCAGCCTTCCCGCGGCCTCTTCATATTACAGTCTACATACGACGCCGCATCGCGTATCGAAAGACCGCTCACAATAACGTGCGGAAGGTTCCCACGTTAAAAGAGGAGACTTCCACTCGCCCATGTCCTCTCTCTCACCGCCTCGGAAGCGTCACGGTGTCACCTGGCGGGAGCTCTCTCTTGACATTGAGTCTTCTCCGTCGCACTATCCTCACGGTTACCTCGTGTTCGTGTTCTGGGGCCCCGTGCATCACGAAACACACCGAAAGACTGCAATCGTTTCACCCGTGGATTTACTACTTCCGGGTTCCATCAGCCCAGAAACAATGCGCCCCTTCGAAAGCAATCCGAAATTTTCTGGCAGCCCTCCCGGATCTTCTGCCGCCTGTGTCAACGTTAGCACCAGTAGCACACCAATATGTCGCATTTGCCACGAAGGAGACCAGACGGAATGTCTCATTTCGCTTTGTAAGTGCTCGGGCAACATGAGTGTGGTGCACGTCTCTTGCCTGGAACATTTGATGAACGCCAAGAACGTGGACCACTGCGAGGTTTCCCACCGCCGCTTTGAAACCGTGGCCCAAACCACCGGTATCCGTCAGTTCTTCTACTGGGCTCTGCAAGCTGGCTCTCTACGGGTCATGCTAGGAGAGCTGATCTGCTTCGCTGTCATGACACCACTGACCGCCCTCAGCTGCTTCTATTGCATCCTTATCGCCTCACAGGAAGCGCTGGAAGGACGCATCAATGGGTTGGTCAGCGTGGTCGTTCTATCTGGCCTTTTGCTTACTGCCTACTTGTACTTGTTTGTTTACATAGTGCGCTCCCATTACCGCAATTTCGTTCTATGGCAGACACAGAATTCGATGTGCAAAACTTGGGTTCGGCGCAGTGCGGTGCTTAACTATGGACAACTCAGCACGCCGGGTGGGCAGCAGGTGAGCTCACGGAAGATTGTGGATGTAGGGGCTGCAAGCGTCACCGAGACCGAGTGCACAAGGCAGCTGAATGTATGAGTCGGCTTACATCTGCCATTGAAACATAACCCGAATTCTTAGCCTGGGAGTCCGCCTTCTGTGCCTCAGCAGTCGATATTCGCAAGCTTCTCATACTGCTAGCAAATGGGTCTTAATGAGCCTTGACTTTAGGTGTGTTTGAGCTTCGTCGCGCCTAAGTAACTGTAATTTTCTGTTGTGAAAAATTCGAGCTTTTCTGTAGCCTATTTTATGATGTTTTTATTGTATTCCTCTATTCAAATAAATGTTTCTGTGTGTTTTGAAATCACACTATACTTCATCTTTCAGTTGTTTGAATGTGCAGGAAGCACTTTGGGGAGGCACTTAATTTGCTACCATTAGTTTTGACGAACTTGTTCACATGTTGCTTATATTTAGGAACTGTAACGGGTTTGTAACGGGTATTTGCTTTGGTTTGTCATTCCTTTTATCCGACAAATAGGACGAATGACAAACCAAAGCAAATAGAATTCACCTAACGACCGATTAATCATCGTCATAACGCGCCATGAACATCACGTGTGCCAACATTTTGGAGCAAATCTATTTGTTTTTGTGATAGGGCAATCGAAGGCCTGCTGACACATAGATTGCCTAGCTTTTCTATTTCTGCGGCCTCATAAATTTCGCGTATCATCTAATCTCGATGACGCCTAATGACCGTACAATGCTGAAATTCGGGGACACTACAGCAGTCCCGGAAATGAATGCCGAGGTGGCGCGATACTGTAGAAAAGACATTGTGAGCGTGCTCTTTCAGCCGCTCATTTAAACATATGCCTGTTAAGCCAATGTAGCATCTACGAACTATAATCATTTCTTAGGTGAATTTTTTTCTTTGGTTTGTCATTCCTCCTAATTGTCATATACTTCTCAAGTATATATTGCGGGGTTTCAGCAAATAACTGTTTTAAATCAATGCCGCAGTCTGTCTCCTTTTTTCTTGTCCCCTGTGATTGGCGCTGTTTTTATAAGAACAGTGTGAGCGCTAAAGCGTTAACAGCGCCGGAGTTAGCGGTAATGCACAGTTTTTTTTCAAGAACTTAGTAACGTTCTCATCTCTAATTCGGAACTGTAACGGGTAGTCGAATTTGTTGTTACCAGTGTTGCAGGTTACGCGTTAACATAACTGCAATACCAGTAATAATGTGCTGTTTTATATCCCTAACTTAGTGACTTGCTCATACGTATTAAAAACGTTAACGGGTAATGTACTCTTCTTACCCTTTTTCGGTAACGTGAGGCGAAGTTATTTTTATTTCAATGCACAAAAATGTCTAGACGCGAAGCAGCATATGCTCAATTTAAGAAAGGGTAGAGTCTAATCTCCTCTAAAAAGCGTTCGGTGTCCATGGTGCGTGCTTCAAAAAACGACGGCGTGAGAAAAATGACAGCCGGAAAAAAAAAAGAAAACAAGCTCCGTGCGTTGCTATGGCGACTACCACGCACGTCGCTGATTGGCGCTTTGCTTGGGCGGCGGCGGCAGAAATAGCGCAAGGAGCGATTGAGTCGGCGGCAGAAATTCCTCGACGCTCGGCGGGAGAAAGAGAGAAAAGCGGCGTCTCGCGAGCGGCGCGCGGCGCGCGGCAGAGCGTCGCGCCGCAAGTGTGTTCGTGCCTTAATCCGGCGGTTTGCGGGGTGCACACCCTTTCGGCGCCTGCGCCAACTCTTCGTCCTCTCCTCGCGTTCACGCGAACGGAGGCGAGAGTTGGCGCATTTGCAGTGGGAGAGCAGACGATCGCTAAGGCCCTCCCCTCGCGTGAGCGCAAGGTGGTGGTGGTGGTAGTGGGTAGAAGAGGAAGAAGTCACCTAATTTCCGCAGCCCGGTTGGGAGCATGGCGGACTGCCTTAAAGGTGGTGGGAGGATATAGCAGAGTGCTGCCTCCGCATCGTTTCTGCTCTCCCGTTTCTGTCAACAACGCCACAGATTTGCGCTCGTATATAATGCTGTGCCCGCACGCTTGGTTGCACTCTCCTAGCAGCGTTGGGTGTTCACTTTGCGGCACACACCACAATTCGGAGAAAGTAACGCATACATAACTCCACGCACAATGCAGCATACACAAAAACATACGAATGGAAACAGAAACGAACTCCAGCGCCTCTCCGCATTCCCGCATAATTTACTTTAGTGTGAGATGGTGCAATGTTTTTACACTTCGTCTCATTGAAGCTGTAAAAAAAATTACGGCATATTCACGGGGTGAATGATGATGAATGGGCGAAGCTCCGGAGGGATTCATCGGTAAACTGTGAATCTTCCGTGTAATTCGCCCAGTCGATCATCATGTAAAGACGTGAGAAACGCTGTGTGTGTATATACACAAATCAACTTGTGACATCATCCCTATTTTATAAGATCTCGCATCTTTCATCAACTACAAGTACCGCTTTCTAGTTTATAACATCTTGCATCTTTTCATCATCAGCTACAAGTACCACCATCTAGTAAACACTACAAGAACTAAACGAGAGGTGGCTACATACAGGAGACGGTACCGCCATCTAGTGAACACTTCAAGAACTAAACTAGAGGTGGCTACATACAGGGGATGGTACCGCCATCTAGTGAACACTGCAAGAACTAAACTAGAGGTGGCTACATACAAGCTACAGGGGACGCACAGCCCACGCCCTAAGGAGCTTCGCCCCTAAAATAGTGAATACGGTGGGCGTTAAGGGAAGAGAATAACGAGGTACTGCGTTTGGCACGTAAAGTTTTTTTTAAGAGCGGCGCCGGTATAAACAGCACGCCGAGACACTACGTCATTGATATGCTGGCGAAGCCTTTGCTTGAGCTGACCACGCACGCAAATTCACCCGCAACCGTCTATTGGCCTCAAAGCAGGATTAAAGACTGCTCTGCGATTCTCATCATCGAAACTTCCACTTTTTGCCGTGTTCCCGAGAGAACGTGAGGTGGCGCCGAGAAATGCGGAAATGTCTGTGCCGGCTCCCACTTCGTTATGTGATTTCAGGCATCTTTTCTAAAGTTAGTACCAAGTTTTTGGACTTACGTGAACGGCCCTTCAGTGCTCTTTACGAGGATATCACCGTTTCCACAGTGAGTGAATGTTTCGAGACTTAATCAGGTTTTGACTAGTCTACGCGATGCACGGCTGCTGAGCCTGACATCGTCTAGGCTTAGCGCAAATACGACTATAGAGCTGGCCACGACTACGGCTTACACGCGGCAGAGCCGGGCCCAGTGAGGTCCGCGTTCGACGAAACCAGACGCAGTGTCCCATACAATCGCAGTGGAAGGAATGGACGCTACGCAAGATGATCTTTCCGACGCAGGCTGGAATGCCGCCAGTGGTAATCAAAGACGACCGGACCAGGCGAAGAACGCGGCGCCTGCGTCTGGCGCGAAAAGTGAAGGCGCGACTAATTAAAAAAAAAAAAAAACCTGACAATCGTACTCCTTCGACATTTCAGAGGGTTGTAGTCCGCTATCGACTCCCCAGAATTCCGGAAGAACACCTCAGGTTTATCGTCCGTCCCAAGGACACATGAACGTTTGCAGAGTGGACCACTTAATTCGCACTCTCGAAGTCTCTGATTATGGCCGCAACTCTCACGGACAAACGAGCAGAGGAAGACTTCGTTTTCTTGAACAAGGTACAAAACATTATCGTCATTTCTACTCCCGTGACAACCAATGCCAAGGCTTATGCCACCATACGAAGAATACACGCAAGCTTTGGAGCCTTCGAGGTATCTGCTTACGTAGCGGCACCGCAGAATACCTGCAAAGGGGTACCCTTAGAAACATAGACCCGTCGATCACTGAGCCCCAACTCAACCAGGCAATAGTGAACAGCCGAAACCCAACAGCGATTGGCGTGAAGAGAATCAAGAACACGCAAGCCGTGGTCGTACTGTTAGAAGGTTCACGAATAGCGAGGCACGTTATGTGCGGGTCAGCATACATGGAATGCTCGATGTACAGAAGGCATGTGTATATCTGCTACGTTTGCGGCCAAGTGGGGCACCGAGCCCACATATGTCACAAAAGCAAGGAAGAAAAAGAAAAGTGGAAAACTGCGGGTTGAATATTCCATAATCCACCCGAGAGACGCACAGTTGCACCCCCAAATGCAAACTTTGCAGCGGAGACCACATCACGGGGGAGCGTTCGTGCAAGAGGAGATACCACGTTCCGTACATAGTGAGAAAACGCCGTAGAGACAGACGCTCCAAATTGCTGGATGACCAAGAGGAGGGTGCTGGGATGGTCACGAAGCAATGGACATCTGATGCTGCTGCGCGGCAAAGGTCCCTTTCCAGGGTGAATTCTAGCTCTAGGGCGCGTTCCTGCTCTACAGAGGCTTCTCGTTCGCGAAAACGAGAGGGCTCTAAAGGGCGCTCGCGCCACCGACGTGGTCCCCGGGGATCTGCCGGTAGCCGATCTAGGAGCCGCTCTCGGTGCAAGGCCAAGCTGACCAGGGCTGACAAGGTGCGGAGTGGTAGCAGCAGCAGCGGTGACAACACCAGCGGAAGACCGGAGCCCCTGCCCTCGACCCGTTTAGAGGTAAGGCACAACCAGAGCATACTGAATAAGAAAAGCGCATCCTTGCCCTAGAGTGCGAAATAGAGAAATAAAGCATAAACTAGAAGGATTCATGACACTAATGACAAGAGAGTTTTCGACCCTCAAGAAAGCACTTCACAAACCCCCACACCTTATCAACAACCCCCCACTGTAGTAAGCACACAAAGAAGCACAAACATTCGCAGAGCAGTGGCACCCATGCCGGACGAAGGCAAGGATGTGTTTAGTGACTGCATGTCAGACATCAGTGACGCCCCCTACAATGTCTCAGCTGGTGAGGGTAACTCCACGAGTCGACGCTGCAAGAGCCGTACTAACACGTTGAGCACCATCAGCACCACGCTAAAACATCTACAACAGGCGATCGCACAGATCAACTCTAGGCTAGATTGCTTAGAAAGACCAGTGGCACACTCGAAAACCGCCAAACGAGCATCAGCTTCTG